GTAGAAGGCATTATACATGGAGTCTGAAATAATGAGGACTCCCAACTCATTCTTTAGTTTTGTGACCGTGGGCAAATTTCTTAACTTTTCTTCGACTCAGTTTCCTGATGTGTGAAACAAGGATACCACTACTTAAGTTTGTAGGACTGTTGTAAGAATTAAATGAGATGATGTATTAAAGCACTTAACATAGGAGGTGCTCAACAAATGTTGGCTATCACCCCCTCCGCCCTTCTTTGCAAAGAAGACTTAAGCCAAAATAGAAACCTTTATTTAAAACAATGCATATTTTTTATGAATTTAGGCATAAAAATGTCCCCAATTAAAGGATGTGTCAATTAGTTTTTGTTGCAGATTATAACCAGTACTTGATTTTTACTCTATATAAAGTAAAACTCTTGCAACCTGGAATCCACCAAAATTCAACCAGTCCTGAGTTGAATATGATTCTGCAATAATTTACAATAGAAAGGCAGCTCTGCTAAGTAACTAATGCAAATAAGATAGCAAGGGATGGTTTACCACATTTCCCTAAAACAATAGCTCTTGAATAAATAACTTTTAAACTACTTATTTAAAAATAATTTCAAATTTACATAAAAGTTGCAAGAATAGTATACCCTTTACCTAGAGATTACCTAGTTGTTAATGTATGGTCTCATTTGATTTATTATTTTCTCTAAATACATACACAGGCATTTTTTCCCCCTGGACTATTTGAGAGTAAGTTACATATTATGCTACTTTACCCCTAAATATTTGTATTTTCCAAGAACATGGACATTTTCTTATAAAACCAGCAGAGTTGTCAACTTCAGAAAATTTAACAGTGATATACTTTTATCTAATTTACTGTCCATAGTCTAATTTTGTCAATTGACCTAGTAAAGTCCTTTAAAGCATTTTTTTCCTTCTGCCACCAAATCCAGATTAGAATCCTCTATTGCATTTAGTTGTCATGTCTCGATAACTGACATCTGATATGCTATTTACAAAATGAGATATTCAAAATAGATTAGAAAATTAAAAACGTATGCTACAAAAATGCAGTTGGTTAAAGTTCTGTTCCAGCATCATATGCGGTGTTCCTTCCCTTTTCATAAAAAAGGTTATGTTAGTAATGCTATTACTACAGTTCTAAAGAATTTATCACACTCAAAGAAAATATTCAAGAACGAGAAAAACTTAACCTCATTTAAAAAATGAAGGCAGTGAATACCAGGTTGCACCCAAATTGGTGGGCCACATTTTATGCAACTTTGACACCACCTCCGAACTTAGGTCAGGAAGTACATACTCAGAAGTGGTCACTGAAGCACTCTGTCCCTTACCTTTTGGTGTTGGTGGGAGGATTTGAGACAGTAAAGGGGAATTTCTGTGCTGTTTGAATTTTTTGACAACAAGCACACATTTCTTACTTAATAATAAAATAAAATAAACCAAAAAAGAAACGGGGTGGATTCCTGATGTGCTGGGTTAACGGGAACATCCGAGTTCATCTGGTGACACTTTCCCCCAATTTACGTAGGGAGACGTCATAATGGGTAAGCAGTTACTAAATTATTTCGGGGAGAAACAGCCAAGAGAAATATTTCCCACAGATGAGAAAAACCTCTCACGTGAACTGGCGGGCAGTTCTAAGGTTGATGGTCTGCACTGAAACCAAGAAACTTCTGCAGAAGCTTCCTGGATTTTAAAGCGTTCATTCTGCAGCGGGCGCCAGAGAAGCCAAGGGAACCTAGAGGCAGCCTGCAAGCAGGAAAGCCAAGGGAGAGGACGGAGGGCATTGGGGCGCGTGCTGACCCCAGGACGTTCCGGGCTGTCAGCGGGGACGGAGGGAGGCCGGGAAAGGTGTGTTCGGAGCAAGCGGGCTGGCAGCTGCGGTCCTAGTTCGCGCGTGAACGAGCGGCGAGTCTGGATCGGCCCCTTACCGAGCGCTGGGCACGTCCACCGGCCCGAGGCCGCCTCCACCGCCGCCGCCGGGGCCGGCCAGTACGTCCCCGCCGTATTTCTCCTCCATCCCAGGGCTCAGGAGCCGCCGCCGCTGCCCCCTCCGCGGAGTCTCCTCATGTCTCGCCGCTGCCGCGGACCAGCGGGCACAGGCGGGTCACTCCCCCATGGCAGCGGCCCCGTCGGGTCCTCGCAAGCCGGGCCGCCGCCGTCGCTGTCTCCAGCTCCGGTTCACACACGCGCGTCGGGACTAGGCCGCGGGCAGTTCAGCGGCGCCGGGTTCCCGAGAGGCACACCCGCCGGGACGTTGCCAGGCCACGTCATCCGGCCCAGCAGGCCTCTCTCCCGGGGGAGTGCCCAGCCTTGCGCTTGCGCATAGCGTAACACTCGCCTTCCCTTGCCCCTTCTTAGGCTCCTCCCATCGTGGGGAGACGGATCGGATCCCCGCCCCCCCCATCAGCCTCTGCGGTGGACGCAGCCGGCCCACTTAGCTGTCCCTGCAGCGCCACCTACGGGCCGCCACTGGCACAGCGGGTTCCGGTGTTCTGTAAGTGTAACGACGGGGGGCTTAAAAAAACCTACAAGTTGTGTGATTACATAAAGCTCACTAGCCTTGCCCTCTGAGTTAGGGATTTCTTTTTTTTCTTTTTTGAGACAGAGTCTCGCTCTGTCACTCGGGCTAGAGTAGTGCCGTGGTATCCTCACAACTCACTGCAACCTCAGACTCCTGGGCTCACCCTAGCCTGCGTTAGCCTCCTTGAGTAGCTGGGACTACAGGCATGCGCCACCACGCCTGGCTAATCTTCCTAATTTTTGGTAGAGATGGGGCCTTGCCCTTGTTCTGGCTGGTCTTGAACTACTGGCCTCAAGCAATCCTCCCGCCTCGGCCAGGAGTGCTACGGTTACAGGGGTGAGCCATCACGCTCGGCCAGGGTTTCTTAATCTAGGACTGTAAGATATGCCCTTCCTCGAAGCTTGTGTATGAATCGACATTTTTCTGATAAGAAAGCCAAAGTCTTGGCCGGGGCGTGGTGGCTCACTCCTGTAGTGCCAGCATTCTGGGAGGCCGAGGCAGGAAGATTGCTTGAGCTCAGGAGTTTGAGACCAGCCTGAGCAAGAGTGAGACCCCGTCTCTACTAAAAAATAGAAATAAATTTGGCCAGACAACTAAAAATATAAAAAAAATTAGCCGGGCATGGTGACGCACGCCTGTAGTCCCAG